ACGACAACCAGTTGATTGAACAGGTAAATCCTAATTTAACCTGCGGTAGTATAAATACTATTACTAGGTTAAAAGTTCAAAAGCCGGTAACAACTCGCAAGTAGTGAAACTTCATCAGTTGAGATGACTGGGACACGTTACGTATGCCCAACCACCGACTACCTCGACGTGCTATATTCAGTGGTATAGGAGTAGGTTGGAAGAAAGCTAGGGGCGGTCAGACCAAAACATGGCACAAATCCATGAAGTCACTGACAAGTGGACTGAGTCATGTTGGTAGGTGTAGACTACCTGGTTGGGGACCGCGAGATGATAGCAACCGATGGTTAGAGACCCTGAATGACATGGCTCAAAATCGATTGCAATGGCGCAGGTGCATACGCTCTCTATGTTCTCCCGAATTCTAATTATCTGAATTCTTCATGCCCCTTTTTTTCCTCTTTCCAAATTTATTTCACTGGATTATACTCGTTAAATAACATCTCCAAACCCTAATCTTCCCGATTACTGCTTATACTCTTGCTTTCTCTACCACTACGGGATTTGAATCGACCACTGCATCTCTGTGCTAATGTGGTATGGCAACTCGAACTGATGTACGTACGTACTAAGTTCTACGTTGTTACTGACTGACTGACTGAACAACTCGCAACAAACCAAGGACTGCATGCTGGTTATGCGGTGATTGGCATTATGCACGATTCTGTTCATTCAAGAAGCATAAATGTCAGGCATGCAACAAACGTGGACATAAAGAAGGTCATTGTTCACTGAAGCGTACGTCTCAGCCTAAGAAGAAGCATAAACGTCCTCGACTTGTGAAATCAGCCGAGTCTAAATCTCTTTCTCTGGTAGCTGCCTTTAAAACAAACTATGACATTCGGAGAAAGTATGTTACCATCCAGATAAACGGCATATCAGCTCGTCTTCAAATTGACACGGCATCAGATATCACGTTAGTGTCTAGAGAAACGTATAACTTGCTGGGTAAACTGCCAATGAAACCATCTAAGAAAACGGCTAAAAACGCATCAGGTGGTGTGCTAAAACTGGTTGGTGAATTACAGTGTGAATTTTCCTTCAATGGAACTAACTGTATAGAACGGCCGAACCTTGATCTTCTTGGTCTAGATATGTTAGACAAACTTGGAATAATGGATATACTAATTAACAGTGTCTGTAATGTATCGTGTTCATCATTGGACACCCCAGTACTTCCAAAGAAGATAGGTGAAACGTTACTAGAAAAACTGAAAAGAAAGTTTGCCTGTTTTTCAAAATATCCTTGGCCACTGTACCAAGATGAAAGCGCACTTACCAGGGAAACCAGATGCTATACCTATTTTTCGCCCGAGACGTCCTGTACCATATGCTGCTCTTGAGCTAGTCGACCAGGAACTTAATCGCTTGCAACATTCTGGTGTAATCCGACCAGTTAACTACTCTGCATGGGCCGCACCGATCGTAGTGATTAAGAAAGCCAATGGGACTATACGCATATGTGCCGATTTCTCGACCGGTTTAAATGCTGCATTAGATGTATATCAATATCCGTTACCAGTTCCTGAAGACCTGTTTGCCAAGCTGAATGGTGGTACATGCTTCGCGAAAATAGACTTCTCCGATGCTTATCTCCAAGTGGAAGTAGATGAAGACAGTAGAGAGCTTCTGACCATTAACACTAATCGAAGGTTATTTCAATACACCCGTCTACTATTTGGCATCAAGAGCGCACCCACCTTCTTTCAGCAAATAATGGATACGATGCTAACAGGTATACCTGGTACAACAGCTTATCTCGATGATATCATAGTTATGGGTTCAACTGACAGTGAACTTTCTGATCGACTACACAAAGTCCTTAACCGAGTGTTGGAGTATGGTTTCCAACTACGTGAGGAAAAATGCATCTTCTTCATGCATTCGATCAAATACCTTGGTTTTATCGTAGATAAGAACGGTCGCCGATCAGACCCTACCAACATCGAAGCCATTCAGAAGATGCCTGCACCAACTGATGTTTCTTCATTAAGATCCTTCTTGGGGTTGATCAGTCATTACAGCACATTCTTGCCTGAAATGCATCGAATGAGAGGTCCCCTAAATGAATTACTATCAAAAGATAAACCTTGGCAGTGGTCAGCAGAATGTCAAGCATCTTTTGACAAAGTCAAATCAATGCTCAGCTCAAAGATTCTTTTGACGCACTTCGATCCCAGCTTGGAAATTGTTGTTGCATCTGATGCTTCTACTCATGGAGTTGGAGCAGTGATATCTCACGTGTTTCCGGATAAATCAGAAAAGGCAATTGCCCATGCTGCTAGATCACTTACTCCAGCTGAGCGAAACTACAGCCAAATTGAAAAGGAAGCTCTTGCAATCATTTTCGCTGTCAAAAGATTTCATAAAATGCTCTATGGTCGTACATTTACTCTACTGACAGATCACAAACCTTTGATTGTAATCTTTGGTTCTAAGAAAGGAATCCCTGTCTATACGGCTAATAGACTACAGCGCTGGGTGACAATGCTCCTGAGTTATGATTTTAATATCAAGTATCAGTCGACAAATACTATCGGTCAAGCTGACGCTCTCTCCCGATTAATTGGAGTTCAACATCCTGGACCAGAGGATATAATTATTGCCTCCACAGCAGTAGACCCAGAAATACGAAGTATAGTGGCAGATGCCATTCGAAACGCTCCAGTGTCGTCAGATGAAGTCAGGGAAGAAACGCTTCGAGACCCAACACTACAAGAAGTTAGAAAGTTCCACCTAGAAGGGTGGCCCTCGAAAATCAGTTCCACAGAGCTTCAACAGTTTTACCAGCGAAGACTCTCTCTTTCAATCATCGATGACTGTCTGCTGTTTGCCGAACGTGTCATAATCCCCAAGAAGCTACAACCAGCAGTGCTTGAACAGTTGCATGCAGGACATCCTGGAATAAATCGCATGAAAGCACTAGCACGAAGTTATGTATACTGGCCGCATTTAGACACCCAACTGGAGCAGCTATCCCGTTCGTGTACCAAATGTGCATTAGCAACAAAAGCACCACGAAAAGCAGAGCTGCAATCATGGCCAATACCACAGTTACCGTGGCAGCGTATACATTTGGACTTTGCTGGTCCACTTCATGGACAAACTTACCTTTTGGTGGTTGATGCATATAGCAAGTGGCCAGAAATGTTTCTCATGGAACACCCAACTGCAAGCTGCACAGTCAGTAAACTACGTCAACTAATCAGTCGTTTCGGAATCCCAGAATCGATAGTTAGTGACAACGGAACACAGTTTACGTCCGAAATCTTCTCACAATTTTGTCGGCAGAACGGAATCCAGCACCTCCGAACACCTCCATTCCATCCCCAGTCAAATGGCCAAGTGGAACGCTTTGTGAGTACATTTAAAAATGCTCTAAAAAAATCCAAAGGGGAAGGGACCACTGAAGATATCTTAGAGAGGTTCCTGTTTATTTATCGCTCTACACCGAACCGTCAGACGATTAACGGGGTCTCTCCAGCAGAAGCTCTACTTGGCAGAAAGATACGAACACATTTCGATGTCATCCGTCCTACGCCAGCTATTGAACCCCAACGAAACCTATCGATGGAGAATCAGTTCAACCGACATCATGAGGCACAAAGACGATTGTTCACGGTGGGACAAAAAGTACTTGCTATGGTCTATCGTGGGAAACATCCTACATGGACAGCTGGTCGGATCTTGAAAAAGAAGGGGAGTGTGGTTTACGAGGTGTCAGTTGGCTCGGAAGTTTGGGTACGTCATGCTAACCAACTGAAAGCAACTTCGATAGCCAGCAACAAAATTCAATATCTATTACCTCGTGATGTTCTGCTAGACACCTTTGAAATCAAAACGCCGGGAATAGACACGTCAGTTTCTGTGCAAGAAAAGAGTGATACTTCTCTATTACCTAGACGATGGACTAATCGAAAACACAGGCCAGTCACTCGGTTGCAGTTGGACCCTAGCACCAGATCCTACGAATCTGCTCAAAGGGGAGGTGTTAGCGGAACATAGACTGGATTAAAACAAGCTCAATGCGCGATTGCTTTGGTGCACGCTGATTTGCTAATTCTTATCCAATCAGCACTAGTCGATAGTTGGAGAATACTCTAGAATCTTCTCATGTAAAAACTATAAATATACTGACGTTTTCTCTATTGTGCTTCCTACTGGCTTCTTACTTCCATCTAACCTTGTTATTTGGAATATAATCTCTTTCCTGTTCAACCGTGTTCTGATTTGGGGACTTGTCGAGTCAATCGGTGTCCGAGAATACTAAGCAATAGGAATAGCTGGGTCATAACCGTAAGAAGAGATTATAACAGTGTATGAGAGTAAAATGATAATAATATGGGAACAGTTCAGTTAGCAAAAATACGACCAGAAATAATTCCTTCAAACAAAGAAGTTACGTTCACGTTTCAGCAGGATCGCCATGGACTTCTATTCTGAGCTATTGAGTAAGAGTAAAAACTCATATACAGTAAGCACTGAAAGTGAGTGACCATGCTCTAAGTAATGGTTGACAAGCCACACAAAACCAAAGCAATAATAGACGAAATTCATGTTCGGAAAATGACGAAAAATGCGCAGAAGAGTCCCAGATACCTATTTACTTTTGACTCTTCAACATTGTTTATATTTTGGTACATACACTGAGAAATATTTTTTTGACATATGGAAAGTATATTTACACATGAAATTTATGTATGCATCATATGTGACGGAGAAGCCCGTTGAAGTAAACTTAAGAATAATTTTTTTCTGAAAATAACTACTCAATAATTCAGCGCAACATTTCAAAAAGACACTACGAAATGCACGGAATCAAGCAAATGTTTTTTTCCTACTTTGTACCCATTAGCGAGATCCAATAAGACCCTAACAGACGTTAAAGCATGTAAATGTACCCTTGCTTGAGAACAGTATTAAACTAGTTAAAAAAATGGAAAAGTAAAAAAATGCTTTACCTTGAGAAATTTTCTACAGCCAATTTATGCGATGATTGAGCTAAATCAGTAATATTGTGCATTTCAGCCAATGCCTCGATACCTAAACAATTTGTAACATCTAAATGACTCTTCATGAATTCAACACAATATTTGATAGCTATTGGATAGTCAAGTAAACTAGCAGCAAGAAATATATCTTGTACAGTGGCTTCTGTAATTTCTAAGCAACCAATATATGCAAAATCAAGCAAACGACGAAGAGCCCAAGGAGAAATATAATCTAACTTAACTCGAGATGTTTGTTGTTCTTTATATGGTGATGAAAACATGGCCTACAGAAATGAATAGAAATGGAAGCTGTATTAGAATTTAAATACAACTGAATATATGGCTACTGTATTTTAGAATATTCACAAAATTGATTTTCATCGTCAATATAAATTCACTGTTACTTTATTTTGAAATATGAATCACGAAGGACAACAAAATATAGAAAAAAGGCCCCCAAATGCACTGGTATGGCTGAGAGTGGGATGGGATCGCCCTCACTCTCGAAGTACTCTCACACGGCCACGCGTATACAGCCTCTGCCAGGGAAGTCCTACTTACTGCCTTCTCGTGGCGGGGGTGTTGTTTACGAAAATGAGAGGACGAAAAGCGAATGTCCGGCGCTTTAACCTGATCCCAAACCGATGGTGCACATGGGCTCCAGTATCTTGATGGAACAAATGGCGTATGAACCAATCGTTGGTCACCAGCTACCATGGGACTGCATCTCCTTACGATGCTCCACTGCCTTGTGGATCAGACCTTTAAGTCAAAGGCTCGGGGTGTGCCCCACTAAGAAAATCACCTGCTTCGCTCTGGGCACCCGGGCAGTATCACAGCCCACACACAATTATGATGAAATGTCAATATTTATAGAAAATACATGTCTTGCTTCGATTAACAATCAAACGATTCACAATATTATTATTATTTACCACATCACTTATCCACTCTCTTTTATTCCCACTCTGTGTATCCTTATTTTTCGACTTATTCAGCAGCTCGCCTATAGTGGAAACTCGGTTCTATCTAAACGTTCTCGAGTCACTGCCCGATTGAAAATTGTATGCTACTACCGAATACGAATACTGAAGCAGTTTTTCTGAAACCACGTGCACCATTCAAACTGGCTGTCTTCAACGTTTGCACACTTATGCAGGTCGGACAACAGATAGGGCTGGCTATGTCTTTGGAAAGTCTTAATATCGATGTTTGTTGTCTATCCGAGACCCGTATTCAAGACTGATGAAGTACTACAAATTCGATCTCCATCTGTCGCTTCGAAAAGCTTGTTTTACGTGCGTTTATCCGGGGACCCTGTGGCATCTTCGTTTGGTCTTGCTGGCGTTGGTGTCGCACTAAGCGCTAGAGCTGAGGCAGCACTAGTTGATTGGATCCCCATTAACAGTCGGCTATGTGCTGTTAGATTAGAAAGTTCCATCAAAGTGAGAAGAAATCGGCGTGAGAAACGATGTCTTTTCATCATCTCCGCCTATGCTCCGACAGATTGCAGCCCGGATGCAATCAAGGATGAGTTTTACCACCAGCTGTCTGTTCTTCTCCAGAAAGTGCGCTCGACAGATATTGTAGTACTAGCCGGAGACTTGAATGCGCAGGTCGGGCGTCTAGGCACAGAAGAGAGTCGTTTAGGTGGCCGATGGGGACTCGTTGGTCGCAGGTCAGATAACGGGGACCGTCTACTGCAACTATGCACAGACCACAACCTGTTTCTGGCTAGCACTAACTTTCGGCACAGTCATCGCCGATGTGCCACCTGAAGTCCTCCCTCTGCATCTCAATCCTGGACTCAGATTGATCACATCGCGATCAGCTACGGCTGGCGTGGTTGTGTACAAGACTGCCGCTCCTTTTGGAGTACCTATCTGGACTCTGACCATGCCTTGGTCTGCGCCAATCTTGCCTTACTTTTCAGTGGACAACGAAGTGACCACCATCAAAGGATTGATGCTAGCAAGCTGGTTGCAACTTCTGTTGCAAATAAGTATCGAAACGAGCTAGCCTCTAGGCTAGCTACCACTCCACCGAAAAGTATAGATGAGCATTGGTTGCAATTGCATGACGCCATGAAAATGGTGAATAAAGTCAGTTGTGGGTTCGCGAAACGTCCCGCTTAAAAACACTGGGTTTCTTCAGGCTCCTTACAACTCATCGAAGCCCGTCAGTCTACTCCAGGTGACCGTGAGTTTGACCACAAACGAAGGATGTTATATAATGAAATCGGGAAAAGCTTGCGTAAGGACCGAGAAGCCTGGTGGTCGGAGCGTGCTAATGAACTGGAAGCAGCAGCTGCATCTGGTAACTGCCGGAAGCTCTTCCAACTCATCCGAGCCACTGGCAACAAGAAGTCTGGTGTGATCGAAACAATCTGTGAGGATGACGGGATACCAATCAATAACATCCATCGACGTCTTGGACGATGGGCAGAATTCTTCGAAGGGCAGTTCAACTGGCCTGCTGCTCCGGCAACATCGGTCAGACTGTCCTGCCCTCCATGGCCGGTGACGACTGATCCACCAAACGAGGAGGAAGTCCGCAAGGAACTCCAACTCTTGAAGCGTTACAAATCACCTGGCCCAGATGACCTACCTCCGGCTCTTTTCAAAGATGATGGTGACTTTCTGACTAAGGAACTGACGACATTGTTTACAAAAGTCTGGGAACTAGAGAGTGTACCAACGTCATTGAATGAGTCGATAGTTGTCCCTATCTTTAAAAAAGGTTCACGTCGTTCCTGTAACAACTATCGGGGGATAAGTCTACTTCCGATTGCGTCCAAGCTATTGGCTTCCGTCATACTTCGTAGGTTGTTCAAAACCCGAGAAAGATTGACTCGCGAGGAGCAGGCTGGGTTTCGTTCCGGTCAAGAATGTATTGATCAAATCTTCACTCTCCATCAAATATTTGAACACCGTCATACTTGTCAAAGGCCAACAATCGTAGTGTTTCTTGACATCAGGGCTGCTTTCGATTCATTGAACAGGACTGTTCTCAGGGATTGTCTATTGAAGAAGAGTGTGCCTGAGAAGTTTATTAACATCTTAAAAGCTTCATATACAAACACCTCAGGCAGAGTGAGGGCATACAACCAACTCTCTCCACTGCTCCATTCGAGCAGTGAGGTTAGTTAGGGTTACCCAAATGCCCTGGTACGGCCGAGAGTGGGGAGAGTCCGCTCTACCTCTCGAATTGCTCTCACACGGCCACTCGTATACAGCTTCTTCCGGGAAAGTCCTGCTCACTGCCTTCTCGTGGCGTGGGTGTTGTTTACGAAAATGAGAGAACGAAAAGCGAATGTCCGGCGCTTTAACCGGATTCCAAACCAATGGTGCACATGGGCTCCAGTATCCTGATGGAACAAATGGCGTATGAACCAATTGTTGGTCACCGGTTTCCATGGGACAGCATCTCCTTACGATGCTCCACTGCCTTGTGGATCAGACCTTCAGGTCGAAGGCTCGTGGTGTGGCCCCCTAAGAAAACCACCTGCATAAGCAATGAACAATCAAGATAAAACGGTAACTGTACTATTAGGGCTTACAATGTTTCAGTTCAATCGAATAATTTTTTCATGTGGAAATAATAATCTGATTCAGCAGCAAGGTTTGGTAAAATCAGATATACCTATGTTGCTAATTTATTCGAATCTCAAACTAGTATTAAAGGTTCTGTTCCTCCTAACAGCAAATTAGCACACATGCACTTAAAGCCGGGAACCGACTGTTCGGGATTAGTGAATTAAAAGCTCTCATAACACCCTCGGAGTTGAGTATATAAGCTCTGTTAGTGGGTTCCATAATCATTTTTTGAGCTTTAAAATGAAATTATGGTCGTAAAAAATTCCATGTGTTTGAAAACGTCAGGTAAAGTTGGTCTAGTCGTTCATTCGCAGTAGTTCTGGTGAGTCTTTTCATGCAGTTGAAGGCTGATTCATCTTAGTGGTGTGATCGTCCCAGAGGACTAGGGTTTTTGCTGTGTTCAAATCACACGTATAACGGCCAGCAGGAATATCTTTGTATAGTATTCAAAGCACTTAAAAAAAATCGTTTTTTGTCAATAGAAGATAAAATAACAATCTTAAATTTATTAAATGGTCAGTTTTCTGCCTGCAAATTGTATATAACAGGAAAATTGATTCTATCCCTAAATCCTAACCTTGAGAACTTTCTAAGAAAAATAACCTGTTGCTACCTTGACGTGGTGGTCGGGCTTGCCTATCGTGATGAAGCAACCGAGCTATACTGGCTGGAACAACCGTTCCTCAAGGTCCTACCATGTCAGACAGGTCGGTTGAAGAGCGGTAAGACTAAAAGCAACAAACCTAAGGTCCGAAGGCGAAGTCGTACTGCTGACTGTACAGAGGTGTGACAGCAGTAAGGTGTTTCCTTCAGACAACCAGCATGACAGCGATGCTGCCTTCCCACAAGGAGGGGTGGGGTTAGAAAAGGTCGACCCTAAAAATGCACACCTCGCCTTACCTCACGGATTTCCGTCTCCGGCGGTAAGGCTCTTTGAAGAACGGAGCTAACACGTCAAAAACCTTCCACAAAAAGGTCGTGCGCGACCGGCCTTAAGCAGTTGTCCCTTGGGCACTGCGGTCACGCTCTCAGGTCGCTGAGACCGCCTCTAATCCAATTTCCTTTTCAGGTACCTCCAGAAAAACCCTTCCACGGTGTGGGCAACCGGGAAGTGATAACCGCCCTCATACCTCTAACAGCAAAGAGGTAATATTAACTTCAAGGTGTTTGCAGGCAAACTGTTTTCCACTAATGTATCCAATGACATTTGCAAACAATTGTGCAACTCAGTAGTCGAGTGCAATTACATATTTGCTGTCTCAAGAAACATTTTATGATACCTCAATTTACTAAACTGTTAAGACAAAAGTGGGGTTGCAGGTTACACGCAAATCAAACATCGATTGCTCTCAGTAAGTCAGTAACAACGTAGAACTTCGTACACACGTACATCAGTTCGAGTTGCCATACCACATTAGCACAGAGATGCAGTGGTCGATTCAAATCCCGTAGTGGTAGAAGTAGTAAGAGTATAAACAGTAATCGGAAAGATTGAGGTTTGGAGATATTATTTAAAGAGTATAATTTAGTGAAGTAAATTTCGGAAGAGAAAAAAAGAGACGAGGAGGATTCAGAAGATTAGAATTTGGGAGAACACAAAGAGTGGATGCACCTGCGCCATTGCAGACAATTTCGAGCCATGTCATTCAGGGTCTCTAACCATCGGTTGCTATCATCTCGCGGTCCCCAACCAGGTAGTCTACACCTACCAACATGACTCAGACCACTTGTCAGTGACTTCATGGATTTGTGCCATGTTGTGGTCTGGCCACCCCTAGCTTTCTTCCAACCTACTCCTACACCATTGAACATCGCACGTCGAGGCAGTCGGTCGTTGGGCATACGTAACGTGTCCCAGCCATCTCAACTGAAGTTTCACCACCTCATCAATTGATTTTCCATCCTTACCTAGTACTCGTTTCCTAACAACTGCGTTACTTACTCGATGATCCCAGAATATACGAGCAACGTTTCGAAAACATCTATGATCGAATACTAGTAACCTACGAATATCTCCTACTCTTACCGGCCATGTTTCACTGCCATAAAGTAGGACGGAACGAACTGCTGCTCAGTAAACCCGTCTTTTTTTGGTAGACGGATATCTTGCATTGTTGCTTATGGTGGTTAGAAGACTGCATTTTGTCAGCGTGTTCACCAAATAGAACTATATCATCGGCATATTCTAAGTCAACAAGTGAATCTCCCCGTAAAAGTTCAACTCCTGGAAATTTCGATGAGGAAAGTGTTATCTCTAAAAGTACGTCAATGACACAGTTAAACAAGAATGGAGACAGTGAACAGCCCTGACGAACACCACTTGAAGTAATCAATTCTGATGACAGTTTGCCATAAGCTCTCACTCGACCAGTTGTGTTCGAGTAGAGAGCCTTTATAAGGTTAATGTACTTCTTTGGTACTCCTTTCAGTGACAAACACTGCCATAGAACCTCACGATCGATAGAGTCAAATGACGCCTTAAGGTCGAGAAATACTACGATTGTGGGGCGTCTGAATGTGTGTCTGTGTTCTAGAACCTGACGTAGTGTGAATATCTGGTCTATACAACAACATCCAGGTCGAAAACCGGTCTGGTTTTCACTAGTCTGCTCTTCACGAGCTTTGGTTAGGCGTTGAAGTATTATTGAAGCTAATATTTAAGACACTATATTAGTCAAACTGATTCCTCTGTGATTGTTACAACCAGTAATTGAGACCAGTCAGATGGGATTACGTCCAGTTCCCAGATTCTACCTAAGACTTCGGTTAATCTCACTGCTAATACTGGACCACCATCCTTAAAAATCTCAGGAGTAAACCTGTCAGGGCCTGCTGCTCTCGCACGCTTCAGATTTCCTATAGCTTTTTCAACTTCGTAAAGAGTCGGAGGACTTACATTAACTTGCCATTCAGGTTGACTGGAGATCGTGAAAAACCGAAGTGTGGATGAAGGCCAGTTGAACTGATCACAAAAGTGTTCTGCCCATCGATCCAATCTCCTGGATGGAGAATGAATAATATGTCCATCTTTCCCTGAGATTGTTTCGCTGACAGTTGGGTTCCTAATACCGGTTTCCTTAATGAGTCTGAACAATTGTCTGCTATTACCTATTGCCGCTGCCTTTTCCATCTCTCTTGCTTTCGCTACCCACCACTGTCCACGATCATTGCGAAGACTTCTTGTCAGCTTGCGCTTAAACTGACTCCGCTCTTCGTTATGTGCAGATCCAGATGGAATGAGTTTCCGAGCATCTATCAGTGTGATAAATGCTGGTGAGATCCAGAGTTGCTCCCTAACCTTGCGGTTTACCTTACTAGCAAATATCACTGCTGTTTCCATAGCTTTTCGGATATCATTCCATGCTGCCTCGGGGTGGGCACCACCTACATGGCTGCCTAACTGTTTTCCTAGTTGTTCCCGAAATATACTCTTAGTTTGACTACCATTAAATAGGACCCTAAGAGGGTTCCCCGTAGCATCTTTCTTACGTCCAGTAAGACACAGACAAATACTCACTCGCACTAGAGCATGATCTAAATCTAAGCATGTGCTCCAGAATGAGCAACAGTCTTTTATCGAGCCCCTCCATCGGTGGCTGATAGCAATGTGATCTATATGGGTCCACATCAGAGCGCCTAGCTTTTCGGAGAAGATCGGAAAGCTTTCTGTAAAACTCATCTTTTACATCATCTGAGCTGCAGTCAGTTGGAGAATAGGCAGAGACGACGAAGAGGCAACGACTAGTGTCCCTATCTTTCCGAGTCCTTACTGTTCCTTTTAGTCGGACAGTGCACAAATGACTGTCTACTGGGATCCAGTCTAAGAGAGCTAGTTCTGCCTTAGGACTCAATGCTATACCTACGCCGGTGAGTCCACGAGAAGCAGCATCAGGGCTTCCAGATACACGAAGTGTGAATCGAGTTGGTTCTTTATTTTGACATGGTGATGTCAAATGAATGACGCTACTCGGATCCTGTATGTGCGTTTCGGAGACGCAGCACACATCGATGGCGCGAGATTCTAGAGTCCTAGCTAAGGAAGCTTGTTGTCTTATTTGGCACAGTGTTCGGACGTTATATGCTCCAACATGAAGTTTAGAGCGTGGTTTCAGGAGACCAGGAATAGCGTTCCGCGTGCTAGAATCGTTTTCTCTAGCGGCGCGAGGTGATAAAAGGACGTGACAAAGGTTAGTCGGGGAGATAAGAGTGGTATTAGGAGGTGTAGGAAGGATTTGAATGTGACCAACTTGGTCTCGCCTGCTGTTGCGGGTATGAGGGCTGATATCACTTCCCGGCTGCCCACACCGTGGAAGGGTATTTCTTGATGAACCTGAAACGGAAATTGGGTTAGTGTTGGTCTTAACGACCTGGGAGCGTGACCTCAGAGCCCAGGGGACAACTGCTTGAGGCCGGTCGCGCACGGCCTTTTTGTGGAAGGCTTTTAAGCTGTTAGCTTCGTTCTTCAAAGGGCCTTACCGCCGGAGACGGAAATCCGTGAGGCAAAGTGAGATGTGACATTACTAGGGTCGACCTTTTCTAACCCCACCCGTCCTTGTGGGAAGGCAGCATCGTTGTCATGCTGGTTGTATGAAGGAAACACTTTACTGCTGTCACACCCCTCTACAGTCAGCAGTACGACTTCGCCCCCAAACATTGAGTTGCTGCTTTTAGTCTTACCGTTCTCCAATCGACCTGCCTGGCATGGTAGAACCTACAGGAACATATGTTCCAGCAAATATAGCTCGGTTGGGTCATCACGATAGGCAAGCCCGACCACCGCGTCAAGGTAGCAGCTTCGGTCAGGTCTGATGGATGTAGGTAATTTTGGTGTGAATCTGTTGCCTGGAGAAAGACTTTCTGACTTTGACTATCCTGATGATATTGTCTTACTGTGTGATGATATCCATGCCATGCAATCCGCACTTAATCAGTTGGCAATCAGTGTCCGTAGGTACGGTATGAGCTTTGCGCCTTCGAAGTGCAAAGTGCTTCTACAAGACTGGCAGGATTCTAATCCTGTACTCACTCTGGATGGTGAGCAGATAGGAGTAGTCGAGAAGTTAGTGTATCTGGGTAACTGCATAAGTGCTGGTGGGGGTGTGAGTGATGAGATCAATGCACGTATAGTGAAAAGCAAAGTGGCTTATGCCAATCTGGGCCATCTTTGGGGCCTTCGTGATGTTAGTCTGGCTGTAAAACGTCGGATTTACAACGCGTCGGTGAGAGCAGTTTTGCTATATGCTCGTGAAACCTGGCCTCTCCGAGTTAGACGACTCTCTGTGTTCGATCATCGTTGTCTCCGAAGGATTGCTGACATCCAGTGGCAACACATTGTTAGTAATGCAGAGATTCAGCATCGTGTGTTCGGGTGCATAGACGATAATTCAATCGGTGTCACTATCTTGAAACACCGACTTCGGTGGCTTGGACATGTTCTACGAATGTCGTCCCAGAGAATTCCACGTCGTGCATTATTTGCCGACTCTGAGACTGGTTGGAAAAAGCGGATAGGTGGTCAGTGTATGACATGGTATTGTGGTATGAAAGAATTCTGCAAAGGGCTGGCTTGTGTTGGTCCTTCACGACTCCCTGGCTGTGGTCCGAGAGATGGTGCGACACTGGCTAGAAACGTTATCAGATATGGCCCAGAATAGAAGCCAGTGGCGATCCTGTTGTATCCTTTTACTTTCTTCATAAAACGTGGTTACTTCTTCCTTAACTGGAAGAATTCTTCTGATTGTACCTTTTCGTTTCCCCCATTATTATTATTATTACGCTACCTTACCTTATTCTGTTCGTTATTGCTTTTTTTTAACGCTCCTCACATTTTTTCCCTCTCTTCAAATTCCCATTGTTTCGTGTGGCGCATGTATATTTGGTGCCCTCTTGTACCAATATTTATGTGTTCAAATAAATAAATAAATAGAGAAAAAAATTAAACGCTGGTTTATTGAGAGGAACAATTCATCCAATAAAGCAGCCTAGTCGATGAAACCATATTGGAAAATATATAATAATAATGATGAATCGAAGGTAGTGAATGGAAGAAATTGCAGTTGTCGAAAGTTCGTTTTACTGAGACATGAAGCTGCTGATGTTACGGCAGGTGGACCTAAGTACATTAATTTGTACGCAAATGTTGAAGCCCTTGACACAATCATGATCAATCAAAAGATTTGAATAACCAACACAAATGAAACAGGAGTCGATAGTCATACAACCAACTATTTTTCTAAATCGAAAACCTTGAAACTTACTAAGAAATATGTTGAACTAGCAGCTAGTACTGCCTTGTGGCAAGGGAGTTCTTCATCACCAGCACATAATATAACATCAGTGAAGAGTGAACGATCTCGAAAAGACCTCAACGACTTCGTCATCTGAACAAGCTGTTCAGATATATTTTCCGATAATCTCTCGAACTCCATCATTAGTATATAACGCCCATTGAAAATCAAGTTGAATCATGCGAATTTACGAACACTAAAAGTTTATGAGGAGATATTAGCCAATTATATTTGCATTCAAATAAAATACAACAATAAACTGCCAATGGTTTGTACATAAATAGTGAAATCAACAAGGACAAAAAAACAATCTAATCTACAGATCGTAATTGCTCATTAGGACTACACAAAAACAAGGTCGGTCACACAAGACCTTTTTATGAGTAATTTTTGTGTTAGCTCAGTACTTGTTGAGACTCTACCGCCGAAGACGGATATCCGTGAGGTAAGGCGAGGTGTGCATTTTTAGGGTCGACCTTTTCTAACCCCACCCCTCCTTGTGAGAAGGCAGCATCGCTGTCATGCTGGTTGTATGAAGGAAACACCTTACTGCTGCCACACCTCTGTACAGTCAGAACTACGACATCGCTTTCGGAACTTTGGTTTGTTGCTTTTAGTCTTACCGCTCTTCAACTGACCTGTCTGGCATGGTAAAACCTTGAGGAACGGTTGTTCCAACCAGTATAGCTCGGTTGCTTCATCATGATAGGCAAGCCCGACCACTACGTCAAGGTAGTAACAACGGTCGGGAAAATAAGCAATAAAATAAAAATCCAAGTAAAAATAAACACAAAGGCGTTTTTGACTACTCAGTTTACTCGAACATTGTGTTGTTTAATACGACGATTAAGATCATGAAATACAACCTTTTAGAAGAGAGAAAACGTTTTTCGGTGTTGTCATGTGCATTTCACGCCTGTAAATGAGCATCAAATACATTGTATCTGATTGAGTCACTATCTTCACAGCTCAGCTAAGTACTATTTCAGTTATGCAGAAAAACTAGTATATGGTTTTTGAAGCATGTCTACTGTAGACGACTGTCAAGACAATCACCTTAACGAATAACACTAAGGACTAATAATTTAAGCTAGATATAAAATGGACAGAAGCTGATGAAAATTAACATGTAAGATCATAAATGGAATTTTTGGATATCTATCCGGAGCATATTTCTGCAGGTTCTTCTGGACAGTTAGGTATGCAGACAATACCGCATTATTATGTGACAACATACGTATTACTTGAGTCGCAATGTTTATTATGAGCCGTAAGGTACATGCTTCTTACTACTGACGTAGATAACTAGTGAGAGCGATCCCGACCGTAGCATATACAGGATCTGAGTAGCGTCATTCATTTGACATCACCATGTCAAAATAAAGAACCAACTCGATTCACACTTCGTGTATCTGGAAGCCCTGATGCTGCTTCTCGTGGACTCACCGGCGTAGGTATAGCATTGAGTCCTAAGGCAGAACTAGCTCTCTTAGACTGGATCCCAGTAGACAGTCATTTGTGCACTGTCCGACTAAAAGGAACAGTAAGGACTCGGAAAGATAGGGACACTAGTCGTTGCCTCTTCGTCGTCTCTGCCTATTCTCCAACTGACTGCAGCTCAGATGATGTAAAAGATGAGTTTTACAGAAAGCTTTCCGATCTTCTCCGAAAAGCTAGGCGCTCTGATGTGGACCCATATAGATCACATTGCTATCAGCCACCGATGGAGGGGCTCGATAAAAGACTGTTGCTCATTCTGGAGCACATGCTTAGATTTAGATCATGCTCTAGTGCGAGTGAGTATTTGTCTGTGTCTTACTGGACGTAAGAAAGATGCTACGGGGAACCCTCTTAGGGTCCTATTTAATGGTAGTCAAACTAAGAGTATATTTCGGGAACAACTAGGAAAACAGTTAGGCAGCCATGTAGGTGGTGCCCACCCCGAGGCAGCATGGAATGATATCCGAAAAGCTATGGAAACAGCAGTGATATTTGCTAGTAAGGTAAACCGCAAGGTTAGGGAGCAACTCTGGATCTCACCAGCATTTATCACACTGATAGATGCTCGGAAACTCATTCCATCTGGATCTGCACATAACGAAGAGCGGAGTCAGTTTAAGCGCAAGCTGACAAGAAGTCTTCGCAATGATCGTGGACAGTGGTGGGTAGCGAAAGCAAGAGAGATGGAAAAGGCAGCGGCAATAGGTAATAGCAGACAATTGTTCAGACTCATTAAGGAAACCGGTATTAGGAACCCAACTGTCAGCGAAACAATCTCAGGGAAAGATGGACATATTATTCATTCTCCATCCAGGAGATTGGATCGATGGGCAGAACACTTTTGTGATCAGTTCAACTGGCCTTCATCCACACTTCGGTTTTTCACGATCTCCAGTCAACCTGAATGGCAAGTTAATGTAAGTCCTCCGACTCTTTACGAAGTTGAAAAAGCTATAGGAAATCTGAAGCGTGCGAGAGCAGCAGGCCCTGACAGGTTTACTCCTGAGATTTTTAAGGATGGTGGTCCAGTATTAGCAGTGAGATTAACCGAAGTCTTAGGTAGAATCTGGGAACTGGACGTAATCCCATCTGACTGGTCTCAATTACTGGTTGTAACAATCACAGAGGAATCAGTTTGACTAATATAGTGTCTTAAATATTAGCTTCAATAATACTTCAACGCCTAACCAAAGCTCGTGAAGAGCAGACTAGTGAAAACCAGACCGGTTTTCGACCTGGATGTTGTTGTATAGACCAGATATTCACACTACGTCAGGTTCTAGAACACAGACACACATTCAGACGCCCCACAATCGTAGTATTTCTCGACCTTAAGGCGTCATTTGACTCTATCGATCGTGAGGTTCTATGGCAGTGTTTGTCACTGAAAGGAGTACCAAAGAAGTACATTAACCTTATAAAGGCTCTCTACTCGAACACAACTGGTCGAGTGAGAGCTTATGGCAAACTGTCATCAGAATTGATTACTTCAAGTGGTGTTCGTCAGGGCTGTTCACTCTCTCCATTCTTGTTTAACTGTGTCATTGACGTACTTTTAGAGATAACACTTTCCTCATCGAAATTTCCAGGAGTTGAACTTTTACGGGGAGATTCACTTGTTGACTTAGAATATGCCGATGATATAGTTCTATTTGGTGAACACGCTGACAAAATGCAGTCTTCTAACCACCATAAGCAACAATGCAAGATATCCGTCTACCAAAAAAAGACGGGTTTACTGAGCAGCAGTTCGTTCCGTCCTACTTTATGGCAGTGAAACATGGCCGGTAAGAGTAGGAGATATTCGTAGGTTACTAGTATTCGATCATAGATGTTTTCGAAACGTTGCTCGTATATTCTGGGATCATCGAGTAAGTAACGCAGTTGTTAGGAAACAAGTACTAGGTAAGGATGGAAAATCAATTGATGAGGTGGTGAAACTTCAGTTGAGATGGCTGGGACACGTTACGTATGCCCAACGACTGACTGCCTCGACGTGCGATGTTCAATGGTGTAGGAGTAGGTTGGAAGAAAGCTAGGGGTGGCCAGACCACAACATGGCACAAATCCATGAAGTCACTGACAAGTGGTCTGAGTCATGTTGGTAGGTGTAGACTACCTGGTTGGGGACCGCGAGATGATAGCAACCGATGGTTAGAGACCCTGAATGACATGGCTCGAAATTGTCTGCAATGGCGCAGGTGCATCCACTCTTTGTGTTCTCCCAAATTCTAATCTTCTGAATCCTCCTCGTCTCTTTTTTTCTCTTCCGAAATTTACTTCACTAAATTATACTCTTTAAATAATATCTCCAAACCTCAATCTTTCCGATTACTGTTTATACTCTTACTACTTCTACCACTACGGGATTTGAATAGACCACTGCATCTCTGTGCTAATGTGGTATGGCAACTCGAACTGATGTACGTGTGTACGAAGTTCTACGTTGTTACTGACTTACTGAGAGCAATCGATGTTTGATTTGCGTGTAACCTGCAACCCCACTTTTGTCTTAACAGTTTAGTAAATTGAGGTATCATAAAATGTTTCTTGAGACAGCAAATATGTAATTGCACTCGACTATTGAGTTGCACAATTGTTTGCAAATGTCATTGGATACATTAGTGGAAAACAGTTTGCCTGCAAACACCTTGAAGTTAATATTACCTCTTTGCAAACAACCTATATTGTGAGTGTAAATAAATATAATGCCAACAGGTTATTTTTCTTAGAAAGTTCTCAAGGTTAAGATTTAGGGATAGAATCAATTTTCCTGTTATATACAATTTGCAGGCAGAAAACTGACCATTTAATAAATTTAAGATTGTTATTTTATCTTCTATTGACAAAAAACGATTTTTTTTAAGTGCTTTGAATACTATACAAAGATATTCCTGCTGGCCGTTATACGTGTGATTTGAACACAGCAAAAACCCTAGTCCTCTGGGACGATCACACCACTAAGATGAATCAGCCTTCAACTGCATGAAAAGACTCACCAGAACTACTGCGAATGAACGACTAGACCAACTTTACCTGACGTTTTCAAACACATGGAATTTTTTACGACCATAATTTCATTTTAAAGCTCAAAAAATGATTATGGAACCCACTAACAGAGCTTATATACTCAACTCCGAGGGTGTTATGAGAGCTTTTAATTCACTAATCCCGAACAGTCGGTTCCCGGCTTTAAGTGCATGTGTGCTAATTTGCTGTTAGGAGGAACAGAACCTTTAATACTAGTTTGAGATTCGAATAAATTAGCAACATAGGTATATCTGATTTTACCAAACCTTGCTGCTGAATCAGATTATTATTTCCACATGAAAAAATTATTCGATTGAACTGAAACATTGTAAGCCCTAATAGTACAGTTACCGTTTTATCTTGATTGTTCATTGCTTATGCATTAGTTGGCATTCATATTTGCAGATGACCAAATGATTCAAGTTGACCAGTACGAATTATCGACGCATATAATGCCTACCAGCAGCAACACTTGGCCATTAAGATTAAAATTTTCTAGCCACAGAATGTATCTAACTAGACAAACGAAATTTCCTTTAGAAAGTTAAGTATATTATGATTACTTTTTATAACCAAGTGACTATAACTGCACATACAGTCGGAGACTTAAACGCTCTAATTATTACGGTCAAAACCGAAAACCAAAAATGGAATATACTACGGATTCGAACATGTCACTCCTTAGAGAATTACAGAGACGTAAATTCAGTACATTAAATTGAAGCACACCAATCTACGCAATTAACGTACTAGTCTACAAAATTCACTTGCAAATTTAAAAGAGAATTAAACAGCTAAAAATCCAGTCCATTTAATCTTCTGAATGATCAAAATACAGACAAGCACACAACGACTGTTCTTTACCCTTAAAGTTGGCAGCGCAACCTTGAACCTAGGTCATAGAATCCAATTTTCAATGTCTTTGAAACTAGTTTGTATACACGCATATTGATTTCTTCGCCCTCGCTGCATGTTGTTTCGTTACGGTTTCAGATATTATGTTTCCGTACTTTAAAGGCGGACGAATATAATTGTTGAACATCATGTAGAAAGTCCGATCAAACAGCACTTTTGACGCAAACTTCCAACTCTTCTGTTGGGGTGAAGAGAACTTTATGGATAATAAATAGTCCCGTATACCGCCGCATATCAGGACTCCATAATTTTTGAGGGCATAGGGAGGAGTGCTACCGGTTTGTGCTATCACTTTTTGGTGTTAAAACATCTGGTAGATCAGAATATTCATCCATTTAGTTACTATGTATTGTTCTCACTGAAGCAATATCGGCACGATTCTGTCACCTCGGCTAGTTCGGTACCAGTGTCACGGCTTTGAAGCGACCCTTAGTATATATCACCACCCCACTTGTTTTGTATACTCCATAGTATCGTTTAAATTTTATGCCTTGCAAGCTCACTTCGTAACCCATAATGTCGGGTGATAGTCGTGTTTCAGTTGGGGCTATGATCTTCAGATCCAACCGGAAGAGTATGTTTCTGATTTTGCCCAGTTTAACATTTAGCTGTTTTATGTTGTTGTAGAGGCATTTTATGGTTCTTATAGTCACCTGGTGATACTCGCCCTGCAGCACTTTGTCATCTGATTTTTAAAGGGGTTATTGGTTCCGCGGGAACTGGCATCTGCAGGCTTTTTTAACAGTACACCACGTTTCTTAAGGAAGCCTAAAGTTTGCTACATTTTGGCCCTTATACAGGTGGCATAGCTTGGCTGAGGCGATATCGTTTCCCAGCACTGAACTGTACTTGTCCTACTGTTCTTTATCAAAGCCTGTACCACTTTTTAACAATCTATTCTACGACCCTGGTACACTCAATAAAATTGTGTAGTTTTGCTCAGCATCATTGTCCCAAACTGAACTCACTGCTGCTTGTTGTTTTCAGATACTAATGAATTAGCAACGGTCGACAATTTTATTAGCGTATGAGCTCGGGTTGTGGCTTCCATATTCGTGTGTTTGTTTGAGTCTGTGTCAGACGATTTAGATGTACTACAGAGGATTGATATAGTTGCTTACACGAGGTCTTATACTTTTCCTACGTTAGTTCCGCAAGGGGAATGTTTTCCACACTACGTGTGAACGTACCAGAAAATCGGCCCTCTGAACTTAGACCACTACATCTACGAGTCGTCCCAGTAGTTATGGTGTAAATACAGGTGGAAAACGCTATTACGACGAACGCTACTCAAAAGACTAAGAAGTGAGATGAGAAACTATTTAAGGACGAAGTAGGTGAACCGAAAGTTGTGTTCTCGCAAGAGAATGTCTCATGTCTAAGGTAGTTCACCAATATTTTACGTTTTTGTGATTTCAGATTTTTTCTTCGAGGACAGATGGTTAAATCCAAAACGTCTCTTCATGCTTTCAGTCACTTTTTGATTAAACCTTTGGAAAGCGCAGACGTTATTACTAGACAAACCCTAGCTGAAGAGGCTCGACCGCATTCGCATCAGATCATCATTGGGTACGCCGTACTACTCAGTCCTCTTAACGAGTAACCAGCACGAACTATACACCTTTCGGGTATGTCTTCGTACTCCTTATTTCCTAACTTTTGATTAGACTGGATTAGTATGTTTCGATCACAAAGTTGAAACGGATGAAAGGGCCGCCGAACTTTGAATACCCTTAAAATCTTAAGTTCATAACGGCTTGGTTCATTTTTATCCTTACCTTTCGAAGTTTGGAAAGTGATAGTTTCTTTTTACTTTTTCAGTCGCAAAATATTCAATGAGTTTCCAAAAAAATTTGTCCACTATAGTGATTAGAAAGTCTAGTTAAGACCATGAGATAATTGGAAGTATTTTTCCATAACATCGTTGGTTTACAAGCGACACATCATTTTTTTTTCACAAACCTGGGTGTCACTAGGATCGTAGCTTTCTTCACGATTGATGCTGTGACGGTCTCGTATTGCCGGTACTGTATCTCATCAAGAATATTCGTCATTCCTTTCCTTTAAGATTTAACCGATTTCTGATGTTTAATGATTACCAATATGATTCATGGCAAAATCAGTAACCTGAAAGTCAGACCATTAGTCTGGTGAGTCAGTTCTGTCAGTCTTGAGATTATGATGCATGAAGTTCCGGCCGTGGTTTAAAAATTCTGGCTATACTACAAATAAGGAAATCAAAACAATGGAGAGCATCTGTGACTTATGTTTCGTGATATTTAAGTTGAAATATTCTCTTCATCGGTTGTCTAATGTTATTTATACACGTAGCTTGACCACTGTAGACATTAAAGAAATGTGTTAAGGTGACTCATGAGTTTCAAAGCAGTTACTGATATGTCTGCATGACTACATTTACCTCTGCTTGTGACAGTCCCCAAGCCTACACGTAATTATTATCTCTGCTCGCGTTCGGATGCAGATTTTTTTCGGGTTATTTTAGTATGAGTGTTCGGTGTTCCCATATGTTTTTGTTGAAGCACATCTTTTACATGCCGTTATGGTTTCTTTCCTTCTTCCTCAACATCGAAAGAGACAGTTATTCTAAGGAAATGGATATGACTCACAAGTGACTGACCTGAAAAAAGTTCAACGGTTTTATCGAAGATGAGACTCAAACATGAATGCTAGGGCATGATGACGAACAGACAACTACATAGACAAACTTACTGCATTAATATGCGTAGCGATTAACTTTGTAGATCTTTTTGTGAAAATAAACTAAACTAGTCTGCAACTTTTACACTCTTGCAAGCCTCATAGTCAATTATACACTTAAGATATTCGTGTTCAGTTGAGCAAAAACAAGATGCATCAGTAATGCCTTAAATTTATGGTGACGCTAATTTATAAATTTGTATTACTGCAGTTTATGAACTTTTTCACTGTATAACGTAAAGTTTACAAAACTTTAATAACGGAGGAGTACACGGTAGGAATGAACATTTGCTATGAGCACTTCCCAAAAAAGATCAACTTTCTCAGCAATCAATCGCAACTACCAGTTAGTCACATAGTATTCGAAGGAATGTTTTATATCACACCAAGTAACAATTAATATCGGTTCGGCTCAAATATTTGATTTGAAGAAAACCAGTCAACGGTAACGAGGTCCTATACCTTTAGGGAGAATTTAACTTGTGGAAAGTACAAACGAATTTTGACAATTCCTGGTTACAATCTCCGGAGCCACAATACTAAAGTCAAACCTCATCCAGAGAACAGTAACCGATATTTAATACGTTTAGCATTATAATTCGATATATTCTAATACGAAATAGTTGATTTCTTTCTATAACAGTAAGATAGTTTACTGGTGAATAAAGACTACACTCAATGACCATGATTATTAATATAGAGACCATAGTTCACTGTCGGTCTCAAACGTTTAGTAGAATTACTTACTTACCTACGCATACAACCAATCATGGAGGAGCATAGGCGAACCACCAGCACTTTCCATCTAACTTTGTCATGGGAAAACTTTTTCAGTTCTTCCCAGACGCCATTCATCCTTTTAATATCTGCTTCTGATTTTCGCAGCAGTTTGTTCTTTGGTCTTCCTCTTTCCCATCTCCCACACGATTTCAAGTCGGAGCTTGCTTCGTGATGCAGTCTGATGATTTCCTCAATGTGTGTCCGATCCACTCCCAGCGTCGTTTCCCAATTCCCTCTTCAACTGGAAGCTGGTTTGTTCTCTCCCACAGTAGGCTGTTGCTGATAGTATCCAGTCAACAGATATTGAGTATCTTGCGTAGACAATTGTTTAGAAATACTTGTTCCTTCCTTTGATGGTTGTGATAGTTCTCCAATTTTAAGTTCCGTACAGTAGAACTGTTTTTACGTTTGAATTGAAGATTCTCACTTTGGTGTTGGTTGATAATTGTTTTTAGTTCCATATGTTCTTCAACTGTAGGAACGCCACCCCTACTTTACCAATCCTTGCCTTGACGTCTGCAACGGATCATCCGTATTCATCAACGATGCTGTCCAGGTGCGTTAAAGTTTCCACCTCTTCCACAGTTTCTCCACCAAGTATGATTGGTTGGTCCCTAATTCAACTTACTGCATGAATAAAGCAAACAATATCGAATTCAAAGCCTCAAAGTTAATCTTTCTTGAAAGTTGTGCTAGTTTCTGAAGCACTTACTCACTCAATAGACAGAAAACCGTCCAAAATTCCTTCGCAGTGAACGGATGCTGAACAATGAAAAACAAGTGACACAAATTTAGAGAGACAAATACCGTCCTCCTGGATTAATGGAGGTGTTCTACTGGCAGTCAGAAGTGCACTGTCAAACAGAATATTCAATCGGTAGACTGATCTAGATATAAAATCACCCGGTTATAAATTCAGAGTTTTACTGCCCTATTTTATAAAGGGATTTTACATCTTATTTTCATTCACTTAATGATGATAATTTAAGTGTGGCAGATTAAGGTCGTATCCAAATTTTAATTCAATAAAACTTTCGACCTCACAACGAACAAATTTATTCACTGACTCTAATGATGTGGAGGGAACAGAGATTCGGATCGAATGTTCCCCAACTTATTAGGTGCTTACACTTCTGAAGAGAAAGTTCTCAAACAAACGATACTAGACTTCAGTTGGTGAGACTGTTGAATAGGCATATGGAGCATTGCTGACGTAACATCGGAAGGCTATTTTCGCTTTTAAATTAAACCCCATATTGTTTTCTTGCTTCATCATTTTATTTTTGCTTTTCCTTAATGATTGAATTGTCTTTCTTCTTCATGTATCTATGGAAGTCAGGACAGATGTTACGTCCTTGATCTGTCTACACACTTTTGTACAGAGGATAACTTGTCTAATCTAGATTAAGATCTTGACGCGATTTGCTGACTGGCTTAACCTTTAGGCTTGTATGCATCAGTTTG